TATTTGCCCACTCTTCCGTTCAAAAACACTCCAAATCTGTCGGATTGCAAGGGCACCTCCTGTGCACAGCCCTCTTCAGATCACGCCACAGATTTTCGATTGGATTTAGGTCTGGACTCTGGCTGGGTCATTCCAAAACATTAATCTTCTTCTAGTGAAGCCATTCCTTTGTTGATTTGGATGTATGCTTTGGGTCGTTGTCATGCTGAAAGATAAAGTTCCTCTTCATTTTCATCTTTCTAGCAGAAGCCTGAAGGTTTTGTGCCAATATGGACTGGTATTTGGAACTGTTCATAATTCCCTCTACCTTGACTAAGGCCCCAGTTCCAGCTGAAGAAAAATGGCCCCAAAGCATGATGCTGCCGCCACCATGCTTCACTGTGGGTATGGTGTTCTTTTGGTCATGTGCAGTATTGTTTATGCACCAAATATATCTTTTGGAATTATGGAAAAAAAGTTCAACTTTGGTTTCATCAGACCATAACACATTTTCCCACATGCTTGCTTCGGGAGACTTCAGATGTGTTTTTGCAAAATTTAGCCAGTCTTGGATGTTTTTCTTAGCTGTTGTTTGTAAGATTGTAATTCTTGGTAATGTCACTGTTGCGCCACATTTTCTCCAATTGATGACGGTCTTCACTGTGTTCCATGGTATATCTAATGCCTTGGAAATTTGTTTTTACACTTCTCCTGACATACCTTTTAACAGAGATCCCTCTGATGCTTTGGAAGCTCTCTGCAGACCATGGCTTTTGCTGTAAGATGACTAAGAAAATGTCAGGAAAGACCTACTAGAACAGCTGAACTTTATTTGGGGTTAATCAGAGGCACTTTAAAGGATGGCAGATGTGTACTGACTATTTAACATGATTTTGAATGTGATTGCTTAATTCTGAACACAGCTACATCCCCAGTTATAAGAGGCTGTGCACACTTATGCAACCACATTATTTTAGTTTTTTACGTTTACTTCCCCCGATCCCTCCTAAAAGATTTCAGTTTGTTATTCAACCGAGTTGTACAGTTTATTGGTCACAAAGTTGGAAAAAAGTTCTGAAATGATTTATCTTTGCCTCATTTTTTTACATCACAGAACCCTGACATTTTAACAGGGGTGTGTAGACTTAAGATCCACTGTAATTTCTTATTGGCATATCATGTAACTGTGGAGCCATTTACATTAAGCAAATTTTTCTCACTGGCATTTTATGTAATTGTACAGGTTTTTGGGAGGCATTTCTATGCTCAGGTTTTTGTACTACACTCATGATTTTTAATATTGTGTAATAAAATACTTTTTTTCTTCTTTTTTACAGTTGTTGGTATGGTACCCTATAGGTCCTAGTAGTTTTTTCGGTTAGGGTTTATGCTATTTTTTTTAGAACAACTATGCAAATCTCAGGACTGGTTGGACAGAAAAACAAATCCATTGGCCAGTTAAATGACTCCCAAAGTATATGTGTTCATCTGTTCATTTAGTCATTTGCCTGAAATTTAATTTTGTGACCTTAGTAGACAACACTGTTTTTTAGTTTTGGATAGAGAGTAGATATGGATTAGAAGACCTGTGAATTTTTATTGCTGTCTGTGCCCCCATTATGGAGATTCACCCTCTCCATTTTTCCTGTCTACTGTTATCATTGAAAGCGAAATTAAAAGAAAATCCCAAATTTTGAGTTGTTCCCAGAAAAGTAATAGACAGGAAATCTTCCAATGGGGACACTAGTTTTGGTGACCTGGGAGTCCCCAAAGGAATTCCCTTATGTTGTAGTGATTTCCTTTCCTATCCCTGAGGAAGTCATGTGATTCGTGATGCAACACATAGGAAGGAAGTGTGGTGACATCATTTCTGGTTGGAAGGCGGCTGCCAACTTGGCAAACCTGTTCCTAAGTATTTGATAATCAATGCTTGTATGGGTCTGCTGGCCTGATTTTAAAAGTTGAGTATTCTATACCTGGTCTGTATACATTAAACATGGATGTATTACATTATGAGATGGCCTTTTGATTTTTTTTGAACATGGATTTCTGATGAGGAATTGGAGAAGGAGCCAGTAAAGTACACTTACAGAGGAGAGCTGGTTGGATTTCAGGTTGATATTAAAGCGCATATGACCTATATTCCCTATCGGTCAAAATGGGAGGTGAGCGTGCACGCTAGTTGGTGGAGGATTTTTAAGGGTGATCAATGTGCAAGTCACATGCGTTATATATACTGATTTGAAGTTTTTTCTGCATTACAGATCTTGATTTTTACTACATTTACGGACATTTATTCACAGACTGTCACTGGGTTGAGGGTTCAGCGGGTGTTTTTATTATTCATCATTTTCTTTTTATTTTGTGTGCTTTGTTTTCTACATATATTATCATTATTATTATTTATGCTTTGATATACATCACTCTGATTGTTTATTTGCACATATGTTGAAGTTTCACTTATTGAATTGTTCATATTTGTTATTGCCTAGCAGGGCTTCTAGTCTGTTTGGATATTTTCATTCCCTTGTGTTTGGTTATTTTCTAGGTATGCACGTATATCACCTTAGTTAGGGGCTCTGTCAGGTGTTTACGTTTTGATTTATGGTTAGGTTTAGTAAGTAGCGCAGCACTATTTATCTATTCATTTCTTAGTGTTGTGGGAACGCAATTTGGTGTTTGCAGCCACTCTTAGTTTATCATTGTAGGTTTGGCAGCGCAAGAGGATTTTTTCTTTATTTGTTGGTCTTCGTGATTTGATTACTTCTTGTTTTGGCTATGGGACAGGAAGTGAAGGTATATTTCCCCAATGGGACACAGATGTAAAGAAAAAAAAAATTGAAAAACATTTGACAGGGATTACTTTATCCACAATGAAAACAGTTTTTTTCCTGTAGTTCTACTGTAAACTATAACTAAAAACAAAACTTTTTTTTTAGTTTCGGACAGAGTAGAAAGGGATTACAAACACCTGCCTGTTATTGTTGTCTGTGCTCCCATTGGGGAGTTTCACCCTCTCTATTTATCCTGTTTACTGTTATCACCCAGAGTGAATGGAGTTGTCACTTAACAGGAATAGGGGGGGAATCTTTCAATGGGGCAGTAGTTCTGGTGACAGCCATGGATTCCCTTACTTTGAAGGGATTTCCCTTCTCTTCCGGTTTTGGATATGGGACAGGAAGTGAAGGAAAATCTCCCCAATAGGTCAGAGATGGTAAAAAAAAAAAAACAAGTATAGGAAAATTCTACATTTTTGTATGACCCCAGAAAAGTAATAAGAGGGGAAATCTTCCAATAGGGATACTAATTCTGGTGACTTGGTGGCCCCAATGAATTCCCTTAATTTGCAGGGATATCCTCCCACTTCCTGTTGTGGCTATGGGAGGCATATTCCTTCAATGGAACACAAATAGCAAAAAACCCTACCTCCTTATCCAAAAGTCAAAAAAATTGTAAAATCCCTATTTCTGAGTTCATTGACAGGCAAAGCTCTTCTGATTCTTGGGTTTGGGTTGGGTTTATAGCACCAACTACAGGAGTAGGACACTAGACAAAGAAAACAGCACTGTCTATAGGCAGTCCTGCCTGGTATAAACGCCCTCTCTGCTATAGGCAAGCTAGATAGTCATAAAGCAGTGTCAGAAGCATAAACTCCAAAAAAGTAGGGGTTGGTGCTGTGTCCATCAATGAACTAAAAAAAAAAAAAAAAAAAAAAAAAAAAAAAAAAAAAAAAGATTTTAGGGCTAGTAACAAAAATCCCGTTTTCAGAGAGACGCTCTTCAGGAAGTATCTGACAGGCTGTGAAGAGTGCTCTTCAGAGATCAAAACACATGTGAACAAGCCGCAATACGTTACAAACAAAATCCAATGAAGTATTACAGAAATGTTTTACCTACATTTTATTAAATGAAGCAACAGCCCAACAAATCTCTTTTGGTCAATAGGTGACTCAATACAAAACTTTCAGATGATGTTTTCCCGGAAACTCTATATGCCATTATAACCTTTGATACTGCAACTTGCGACACAGCAAATAAATTGGCAGCTTCAGTCACAGAGGCACCAACTAAGCGGTACCAACAATTTACCTCTTTAAAGCTCAGTAGGCTCTGACATGACTCCATATTAGTAGCAGCACATGCAGTGAATGGCGAAAGTGAGACTTCCCAACTGCTAGCTAGGTGTCTCATCACACAGCGAACACAAAAGAGTGTTACGTGACTTCCGCTTTCAAGTGAAACATTTAGTCACTTTCACAACTGCAAATCATGTAGAGGTTCCATTTTTTGTCCAACCCCTGTATTTCTGTCATAGCAGGTTTCTTTTAACGCACTATTCTGCTTTTCTATTAGACTGGAACTCTTGTTTAATAGGGAAGTAACTATACATCAATCAAGTTACTGACCTAGAACGGTTATACAGGCGTTCTGACTTCAAACGGTTGCATGCACGTTCCATGGTTGCAACACACTGGATGGTAAAGCAATTCTGAGTTTGACAGCCACAGATGCATATATTAACAATATCAGATCATATTTTCTGTTACAACAGAGTGACTTGGATCTAACATAGGGTTTCCTGAACTCCTTCTCACTGGCAACCAGAGCAGCTCGGGGGAGTGCTGGAAAGGGAAGTATCAGCAATAGCTATGGCCACCACTGGTTCACTTTAATAAAGACTTGGACATTTGCCAGACTCAAATATTAGTTTGGATAAAGAAGAAGTCCTCTTTGCCCTGTCTGCCGCTCCCCCCCCTCCTCCTCCATGCATGCTGAGCGCCATACCAAAAAAGCAGCAGCTGCAGTGCTTGGAGTGTGTAGTGTGCTGGTATGCTCCAGGATCCCCAGTCTCAGTCACAGAATGGTAATGTAAGGGGTCAGGTCAGGCAACGCTTATATTGCTGTGATCTAGCTTAAGCCAAAAAAGAAATACTGGGACAGTATGAAAAAAAAATCAAATAAAAAATGAGCCGGCAAGACATAGAACAGTGCACGATGATTAAAAAGGATTAAGAAGTAATGTTACCAGTACTTACCAAGTTCTGGGGGCAGCACAGTCAGCCTGTTTCCTTGTATGTGCAGCTCCTTAAGCTGACTCAGCTCCCCTACCTCTTTAGGCAGCGATACTAGGTCATTATCCCGCAGACTAATCTGTAGAAAAATTCAAATAAAGCAAGACAGTCTAATACCAAGATGAAATAGGAGAATCGGCACTTGAAGCCATTATACTATATATGTAAAAGTAGAAAACTGCACTATGGAAATGCTGAACAACAAAGTCAACTGTGTTTTAAAAGGGAATTGTAGAGGGGTTTGTATACATTTTTCTTTATATTTAAAATATTTTTATCATCAGGTAAAAATGAACAGTTGCATAGGAATATTCGTATTTTCCTTTCCAGCCAGCAGATGGAGCTTTGAGCTCCCTTTTACAAGTTTTGTAGGTTATCCTTATTTGCGTTGCTGATTACAGAGCCTAAAATGTTACAAAACCCACAACAGTAAAATCAGTGTATATATGCACGATAGCAAGCGTGTTATGCCCACTGTGGAATACAAGCGGTTAATCCTCTTCATTGTGTAAAATGGCTGCTTGATCCTGACTTCTCTGATTCTCCCCTTCTACTGCCCCCAATCCATCTGCTGATAGTACAGCACTCTAGGAGTCACTCTGCACATGCTCAGTTTGGTGTGTGTTTTTTTGTCTTTGGGAGCGTGTATGTGATAAGCACAGGGCCAATCAGCACTGCCCGGACAGAGGGTCAGGGGTTATGCAGCCACATAGGATAGTCAGATGAGAATGAAAACTCCTTCTACAAGCTTTAACCAGTGCTCAGCAGGACACTGTTAGAAATCACAAGACTGCTATATACTGCTGATGAGAAAAGGTATTTAGCAGTTTATATTTACTAAAATAATTGCATTTTCATGTTCTGTGTACTATGGAAGACCAGATATAGTGAATGCAAAGTTCTGGGTTTAGTAACACTTTAAGAGCTCCAGGTAAATGAGTAAGGGAGGCCATAAATGATTTGATTTTCTTTCCTACAACTGTAGGTTGTAGGAAACTAAATGGCTTGACTCCCCCATCAACACGGTCAGTGCTGTGGGGAATCCATCCCACAACGCTATTGTGTTCTGCCGGAGGGAGGGGCACAGGAAGCCTTCCCGACTGGAAGAACACAGCGATTACTGCCCTCAGCTATTTCTGCTGGCAGTAATATCATGGCAAAAATCTGACAGTCCCTGGTGAACCGACCAAAATTCAATCCATCTATGTTGGCTTAAGAGTAGTGACTACTCACACTTTGACCTTGCAACCATGCTATTGGCCATAGTTTGTTGGATTCCATATGCAACTGTACTCCCTAATTACCTTTGATGTGCAGACACAGTTCCCTACCTGTGTTTTTATGCTTTACTCTGAAAAATTATCTTTTAATACCTGAGGCTTGTACCCTTGTTTGTCTTGTGTCATAGTACTGGTTTGTCCTGGACTTCATGAGCTGCATGTTGGAGTGCATTCCTATCATCTCCCCATCGCTGTTCATTATGGAATTTATGGACTGCAATTTACCAGTTAGTACACACTACACAGTGTAGTGACTTCTGTCTTTTTTTTTTTTCTCTCTGTGCTTCTCCTCCTACCTGCCTGTTCAGATGGATCCATACAGAGTTACAACCAGAGATAAAAGAGCCTGAAAATAAACCGCTACTGCTGTGCTCTTCCTTTAATTCTCTGGAAATCCTCTGTCAAGGATGCACATTTTGTTAAATGTTTTTGTTTGTTTTTACTATTTATATAACATTTTGTTTTAATATATAGATTAGTTTAACAAACTTATAAGCTCCAAGCACACTAGCTTAAAAAAAACGCCAGTGTTCTTGGCAGAAACAACTGGTGTTTGAGTTTTTAGTGGTTTTTGTGCCAGAAAAAAAACAAACAAACAAAAGCACTCAAAAAACACATTACAGAATGTTTCTGCCTGTAAACATGGAGCTTAAAAAAATGCCTCTAGACTGCCTAATGTGCATGGACATATAGGATAACATTAGTTGCTTCTACAGGAAAAAACAATAAACTCCTCTAAGAGTTTTTTTTAAGCCAGTGTGCATGGAGTTCAACTAAAAAAAAAAAAAGAACACATTAAATAATATTGACCCCTAACCATTATAGTTTCTCTTTAAACACACTTCTCACAGATCATCATGCCACCTTCTTTATAAGAAGTATTCTCTTACTTTTTTCCCAACTTACTTTTTTTATATGTGAAAGTTATTAATTCATGTTCATTGTACTGTATATGTAAAGTGAATCCAACAGCCATTTTGAATTTCAACTTAAAAAAAAAAAAAAAAAAAAAAATCAAAGCATGGGTGGAGATTGGTTTGGTGGTAGAACTTCAGAAAAAAATAAGCCCTTAGGGCTCGTTTACATGGACAGCCAGTAAGGGGAAGGAGGGGGGCAGTAAAAATGTGTAGTTGAGCAATGGTTTTACTGCCCTTCTCAAGTTGCAACAGTGGTCAAGGGGTTGTACACATGGCCATGCTTCGCTTTAAAAATTATACCCCATGCCACATTTGTAGACAGTAATGACATCAAATGTGACCCAAGTAGGCATTCAGGGTGCACAGCGGATTGCATTTTAAAAAAGGGATGGCAAGGGCTGCTACCTGTGTGAATGAGCCTTTAGAAGGACATTAAAACAGCTTTTTGGGTTACAAAGCTAAAAGGAACTCACCCTATTGTGTCTGTTTCTAGGCAACACCTTTATTTTTAAAAGCTCAGCACAGCTGGTGGCTTATCTAATAAGAAATTGCAGCAAGACAAAGCAAGCTGAGATTTCAACTATCATACGCCTGACCTCAGTAACCAGAAAGATCCATTTTAATGCCAGCCCCAGCAGCTGCACATATTCAGCCTACCTTTGCTCACACATACCTCGAAGCAAAGCGACATGCTGAGCTCTTCTTATTATTAAGGAGCATGTTGCATACAACCCTCTCATGCGGCAGTGCCGACTGTCCACTTAGACACCCATTGCTGTGACATGGGGTACAGACAGTCCTCAGTCCTGTGTATGCTCCAAGTCTTGACGTAAAGCTTACACACGGCTTCTCCTGCCTCCCTGCAACTGGACAGAGAGGTGGGGGGGGGGGGGGGGGGGTGCAGGTAAGTCAAGAATAAGCAGCTCTGGTGGGGTGGCATTAAAGTGTACCTGTTGCTTTGCCCTGCATGACCGAAACACCTGAAATGGGTTTTGTAGAGTCTAATATTTTTGACAGGTCAGACCCATTCCTATAGACGTGTAGCACAGCCATTGTGCAGCACAACCTAGGAGCAAGCAGAACATGCCTATGTAATCTGCAGATTACAAACTATGTATAGTTGATATAAACAGCTGGCACTTTGTAACATATGTTTGGTCACGTTCTCAAAAAACATAATAATGATAGTTTCACTTCAAACTGATGTGAGGGCACAAAAGGGGCATCAGCAGTGTGGTGAGTGCGGCAAGGCATTGAAAAGTGTAGTCCTTCACCCATGTTGTGCACTCATCTACACAAAAGGGTTTGTGAATTATATGACATTTCCCCCATCTGTGCTCAGCTGTGCTTTTAACAGCCTGCCCAGAGTCGCCCTTTAATCACACATTCCTTGCAGCGATGGCGAACATGGTCATACTGACAAAGACAGGCTGATGCTACTAGTCGCAGTAGTTTATTTCTGCAAAATAAACCCAGCTACTTCTCAAATTGACTCAAGTTTACTCTCACAAAAAGGCTCAAGAAAGTGAATTGATTTTCCAGGAATTTAGATAAATTACTTACTATCTGCAACTTTGTGAGCTTCCCAATATCGGCCGGCAGGGTTTCAAAATCGTTGTCACTTAGATAGAGAGCACGCAGGGTGGCTGCAAATTAAACAGCAATATATAAACAGAGTGTCGTGAAGCTGCAGCGCAGCGGCCCTGATCAATAGCGCAAGTCAGCTCTGATTAATAACCCCGGCTCGGTGAAAAGCCTCTGACATACCCAGGGCTCACGGTAATAACAAGGAGGTCAAACGCAGATTTAAAGGCTTATTGTATACCTCGCATGTACAGGAAGACATCTATATATATATATATATATATATTGGAGAATGACAATTAAAGTAGGCCTGTCCCACAAGCACTGTGAACTCCTAATTAAAGCTGAATTCCATGAAGGTAAAGAAATAAAAAAAACAAAAAAACAAAAACACCAATTAACACAGTTATGTATTCATTAAAAACAAAATCCTTTTGAAATTTAGCCAAATACCGGTTTTCATCACCTTCTTACAATCCCCCATACAACAGAACGCAGACTAGGAGAGGGAGGGCCAGTGTAAGGAGCAAAATCAGGGTCTCCTGTATGCACATGTGCAGACAGGAGACCAGAGGGATGGACTCCTCAGTGTGCTGCTGCCCCTTCCCTGTCCAATCAGCAGCCTAATGGGTGTGTTCTTGACCAAAAAGGTATAGCAGTGGAGCTCCAGGACCTGGCTCAAAACAGTTTGCAATTCTGAAAATAATTCTCATACACAAATTTTAGCTGTGCTTAGCAGTTTGCCTGAAGTTCAAATTTAAAGTATATGTGGAAATTTGGGAAAAAAACAAACAAACAATCTTTTCAGTTTAGCCCCCATTTACACCAGGTGCAACTTCTCATGCGACTTGACAGATCAAAATTGCATGACAAGTCGCACTATGGAATAGTTGAAATCGGTGCAACTTGAGTCACAGCGATTTTGAAAAAGGTTCCTACACAGTTTCTGTGCAATTTCATGTGCGACTTGCATTGACATCTGTGTATGAAGTCGCACAGATGTTGACAAGCAGCACATGAAGTCGCACTGATTGGCGGCTTTGAAATCGAGCTGACGTGGCGCAACTTCAAAGACGCACCCAGAGTCAACTGGGTGTTAAAATAGAAATGAAAGGCAAAACATTTGAGCATAGATATAAAAAACATTATAAATATCTTGTTTCCTCTTTTTTTATATAAGTTATCAAATACCCTCTGTTCTAAACTGCATATGGAGCTGGGGGAGGAGAAACAGCAGGATATTGGGAATAGCAGTGCAGGGTGGAAGCAGGGGGGTGTCAGCACAAGACTGAGGAGAGCAGGCCGAGTTCCCAGCACAGCTAGAGAACTGACCACACTGTGTTCTCATGCTTAGTGTGCTCAGTTTTTAGTAAGAAAAGCAGAGGGACTGGCAGGAACAGCAGGGAGTTCACACAAAGGAAGCAATACAAAGAGAACAGGATACTTTTTCATACAAGTACACGGTACAGCAGGCACATATCAGGAATGTGAAATGCTGGGTGTACATATTTAAATTTTTTTTAAAAATAGATTTTAAATATTTATATTTTAAAACATCCACTGCTAAAATTAATTTTTATAACTAACACTTGAAACTCCTTTTATTGCAATGAGAAAATAGGTAATAAAACACTGAACACCTGTTTGTCAGCCCCTGCCCCTCCACCACTGTACCTTGACTGACAGCACACAGTTACACATGGAATAGAACAGGGACACCTGGGCTGCTTTATTTTCTGGTTCAGACATGGAGACAAGGGATAATGGCCATACACAACAAAAGAGAAAAAAATTAACATTCCTCCATGTGCGTATGTGATCAGATTGTAGTCTTTGTAAACCATTATGGAGCTATGGAAAGGGCTGGTTACAAGCCTGTCATGCTAACCCCGTTTTCAATTCTCTCAATATTACTACCACTAGAACAACTATCGTCAAAAAGCAATCTTTATATTCCACACACCTCAAAACATGGATCAAAATTTGGCCGGTTGAGCAGAAACCGGCTGAATTTCAATCTATCTATAGCCATTCCAGTTCATGAGAAGTTGATCTATTGAGAGACTTCTTATGAACTGGCCTGTTGGAAAATTTTGCTTCCATAAAAATGACATGAAGTCATTCAGCTGCAGTACTGATCAGTGTATTCTGATGGTGGGGGGAGTCCCGTGTTCAGAATACAATGACACAGCGGGGAGGATTTCTCTCCATCCACCTCAAATGTGGAGATGGAGGAATCAGTTCCCTTTTTTTCCCCCACTCAGCTCACCGACTGAACCATGTATGGCCAGCCCTACAGGTTTTCATGCTGATTCTCTGGTTTCATTTATTTTCTGGAAGTGGTTAAAATGTACCTGTCACCCATAAGCATGCCTGTTGGTGGAATGGCACCATTATGTAGAGCAGCCTGTTGCAACCAGGGTGCCCAGGCATTCTGGAGTGTCTTCGGGGTGCCTTGGCAAAATGCCTAAAAATTGCACCAGTCAATGAGTGTATGAAGCCTGCCTTTTAGTTATACAAAGCCACAGGTTTTCATTGTGCACCATTACAACCTTCCAGTCACTAGCATCCTAACAACCAATGACATCATCAGTTTATAAAAAGGATGTTGAGCACCTACACCGCATCCTTCCCTGCCCCTCTCCATCAACACTGGGGTCACATTAGCTGAGGGAGAGAAACAGAGAAAAGAAACATTGGAATCCTAGTCAGTAACAGTATGCAAAGGTGTATTTGTTTGGAACAATAAGTCACCTCTAACATTTATGAATGGGGTGCCTCAAGATTGTGCAGAATTTTAAAGGGTGCCTTGACTGAAAAAAGGTTGAGAAACACTGATTTAGAGCGGTGGTCTTCAAAGTGCAGGCCAGATGTTGTCCTTTGCTGGTATTTATCCAGCTCTTGGGGCATTGTTACGTTCACTGATACGAAGCACTGTTCTTCCCAATGACACAAACGATGAGGCACCATTCCTTTAACTGGCACCAACAACGGGGCACTATTCCTTCCACTGACACCAACAACGGGGCACTATTCCTTCCACTGGCCCCAATAATGGGGCACTATTCCTTCCACTGACACCAACAACGGGGCACTATTCCTTCCACTGACACCAACAATGGGGCACTATTCTTCCCACTGACACCAACAACGGGGCACTATTCCTTCCACTGACACCAACAACGGGGCACTATTCCTTCCACTGATACCAATGATGGGGCACTATTCTTCCCACTGACACCAACAACGGGGCACTATTCCTTCCACTGACACCAACAATGGGGCACTATTCCTTCCACTGACACCAACAACGGGGCACTATTCCTTCCACTGATACCAATGATGGGGCACTATTCTTCCCACTGACACCAACAACGGGGCACTATTCCTTCCACTTTCACCAACAATGGGGCACTATTCCTTCCACTGACACCAACAACGGGGCACTATTCCTTCCACTAATACAAATGATTGGGCATTATTCCTCCTCCTACTGACCACAGGTGTTATGTCATTTTTGTCTACCCTTACTGAGCACCAAGACTGAGGCATTGTTTACTCCCACCCACTGATGTTGCTGCATGTTCTACTCACACTGGCTACAGTCCGGCCCTCAAAGTCTGAAGGACAGCAAACTGACCCTTTGTTTAGAAAATTTGGAGACTCCTGATTTAGAGAATACAACTTCTAAGTTCAGTAGTTATAGGTAAGTGACATGATTAATAAACATATATAACCGATCGCATATAGATTGGGTATTGATTGCTTTTGCACACTAAAATTCATTTAGGAGTATTTTTCCTGAAAATTTGTGTTTGATAATTGACTGCGCAAACATTGTGCATCATAAAAAAATTGAATCAGCCACCATTTTATTCTCCTGGACCTCTGCTATCAGGAAAGATTTAATGTTTGGGGACTAAGTAAATTTCAAGCAAACACAAATGCTGATATTTAACATGTATGTGAAAATTTCAACATTGCCAAGAGGAAGCAAGTGGCTAAAGTGAACTTGTCACACAATATTTCCCTTACATAACATACATTGGTGAAGTATTCTTTCCGTACCGCTCAAAGCCCTCTGAGAAGCTCACATCCATAATGTGTTTTACAATAAATGGTATCTCTGTGGAACATCCTCTGGGTGATGAATTTATAGACTGGCCTGTGTTTATGGACTCATTTGCATTTTATACTAAACGGAATTTCTGAACTGCAAACGGGCTTTTATAGTGCACACATGAGGGCCGTTGAGGCTCTGTAATGGCAATGTACATAACAACTAAAACCAAATTATTGCTATGGTTTATTTAATGCGGTTTATCAAGAGTAATGTAAAAAACTGAGCATTGGGCCAACGTACAGAACAATCAACAGGACACAGTCTGAATAATAATGTGTCACTTTTGTGGTTTGCTGTATCATGTATATTCAGTTAATTTGTTTTGAGTGTTTTTTTCCTTGTTGACTTTTTCCCTGAACACTGCAGATGTATATTCTTGAAGAGATGAGAGAGAAGTAAGAATAGAGGTCTGTAGGAGGAATAGTCTAAAATGAACATCACTGATCGATGAAGAGCTTTAAAAACTGAAACATCCTTTAAACACGGAATGCAAAGAATGAGAATACTACAAGTTAATAATAAATCCAGTATAGATTTAATAATCTTGATAAACGATCAGAAGGTATATCCAAGGTATATTCATAACTGGATCACAACTGCGTTACGGGCATCACAACTACCCTTCATCAGGGCTTGAGTGCTATCAGTGATTGAAGGAAATGCTGGACAAAAAAAAAGGATTAGGGATTAGTGCACATCACAGTGCAGGTGCCAAGTTGACTGGCTTTACCTTCTGAACATTTGAGATTAATAACTCTGTACTAGACTTATTATAAATGCTGCATTCTCTTTGGGCCATTCTAGGGACCTGCAGGGATATATTGTATGCTAGAGAGCTGCCTCTTAGAACTAGAGATCATACTCGACTATACTTATCCTTGGATCTGGCACCCCACCAACTCTTCCCTTAGATCCTTTAACCATGCCTATGCAGCACGGATGTCTGTGGGGAAATTGCATATTTCATATTCTTTATTAATGTTGGCCTCACAAATATCTAATGAAGCCTCTAATATTCTGATTATTCTGGTTACCTTAGTTGACTATTGGAAATTCATTGTAAACTGACTAGTTGGACAAGCCAAGCCAGACCACTTCTCTCCTTTCAGGAATGTGCCATCTTTTTTAAAAGGTCATCATGTTGTTTGTAACGGGGGGGGGGGATACTTTATCTGTATCTGCCATTACTTGTAATAACTGTTTTACTTATAAATATTTGTGTGATCTCTCTTTGCACATATCAAATACAACCCTAAAACCGTTGCAAAACAAATGTCTAAAACTGTAAGGTATAAAGTGTCAGTGCTTGTGAACTACTATGGTGTATTAAAAAGCAATTGTGAAACTGTGTTAATTCTTATTGCGGTTTGTCGACACTGACACATACCCATATAAATGTGTAAATTATCTAATGAAAATTATATATTACGTTAGTGTCACGCTCCATAATAATTAAATTTAAATAGTAACTATATTAAAAAAGGAAATTTATTTAACAAGTCCACCTTAGTGTATTCGGAGTGCAATAAGTGCTCTAATAATAATATTAAAAAAATATATAAATATGTGAATAATGTTTAAAAAAAAGATAAAATACATTATTTAAAAAAGTGATAGAAATTAAATATATCAATACATTTATGGTGTTCAGAATTTCAAAAGAAATCAAAATAATGTCCAATCCAGAAAGTCCACTCCGTGATTATAGCAAAATGCCAGATATAACTTTCTTTCTTATGCACTCACCTGATTTTTAGCCCTACCAAACAGTAAGGCTAAAATAGCTTTTTGTCTTTTTTGGACAAGTAAGGTAATTTCCAAACTTTGGCTGTGATCCAGAGCTGATGGGCAGCTGAATGCAGTGATTCACTTTTCCCACATTTTTTAATATATTTACTATTTAAATTTAATTATTACGGAGCACGACACTAACTTAATATATAAATGTCTAAAACTGGCCATGTGTTTTACAGTAGGTTGGTGCACTCCTCTTCAAGTTCAGCAACAAATGCATACAGTGAGGTACCTCTACCATTCAGCAAATCTAATTCTGTGCCCTCTTATAGCCTAATGCCAGATGCACTTTCTAACCAGACTTCAACTGTCTCCAACCCAAACTTCTGGCACCCCCACACACTAAATTGGTGGCTTCTCATTGGCAGAATAAAAATGAATATTGTGGCATTCACAGACAGATGTGCTATTTCTAATCATAGTGCACATGTGACAGGATGCATTTAAAGTGTTTGTAAAGCCTGAAGGTTTTTTACCTTCATGCATGCTATGCTCCACCAGGCCACCTCTTGATCCAGAAATGTCCGTGAGAGCCTCAGTTCTCTAGGTACTCACACTCCTGATTGGCTCACTGGCTGTGACGGCCAATCAGGAGAGGGAGGAGTGAGGTGGGGCCGAGCCATGTCTGTGTGTGAATGGACATGCAGAGCCGTGGCTCGGAAGCACACCTGCTAGGGTGCCCCCTCAACAAGCTGCTTGCTGTGGGGGCACCTGTCGGGAGGGAGGTTCCAGGAGCGCTGGCAGGGAACCCGAGAAGAAGAGGACCCAGACTGCTCTGTGCAATACCATTACACAGAGCAGGTAATCATGACCTTTTTTTTAAAAAAACAAACAACTTTAGTATCACTTTAAAACTGAACATATACAGGACGGATTTACCAGATCAAGGATTTATATTTTGGTTCACCCAGTCCAGAGATTTACACAGCCCTACCAGACAGAACAGCCAGTACGGTGACCTGAACTTTGGCTACCACAGCTTAGTAATATTAGTTGGTCATGTCTCTGCCCCTGGCCTGTGACTGGACAGTAAAGACGAAGCAGCACACCATTGAGCTAATCTCCAGAGCACTGCAGTATGTCTGATTAGCTTCTTGTGCTGTTTTATCTCTCAGAGTTCAACTTTATAGGAGATTTCAAGAGGCTGATGACAACTCAAATTTAGATACTTACTAATAAAAATGCACTTAAAGGGTTGCTCAGCTTTTGGGGAAAAAAAATAGCAAATAAAGAAAATATAGCATATACAAATTGCAACTCAAGTCATATTGTAATTAAAGGTTATTAAAAACTACCTTTACTTTTCAATCAGCAGCACTGTAATTTTCTGTAAAATGCAGTACAATATGGCTACCTGGAGGTGTTTTGTACACAGAATGTTATTGGCTTACTGATTTTCCCACAAGTCTGCACTAAGTTACAAATCAGATTTCAGGCATCCCCTGAAAAAAAAAGTCATTTTTGGTGAGATACTCCTTATAGGAAATCACATCTAAAGAGATGCAGACCCTGCAGTTTTCCTCAGAGCCCTGCAGTTGCAGCAGCTGATTGATAATTATAAGACCACTACCATTAGTTCACTTTGCACATGGACACTGACAAACATCAAGCTCTTTCTTCAGAATACCAAACAGAAGAAATCTGCAACAAACTTTGCTAAAATCCTTGCAATGTACATAGATCACCCAGAGGGGAAAGTTTTTTTTTCTCAACAAACGTGGAGTGACGCTTTGAAAAGTAACTTCACTTTTAATGAGAACAAAACAAAAAACACAGACCCCTCTGGGTGATCAATGCTCAATGCACTTAACAAAATCTGTTGAAGCTCTGCTTATGCTCTGAAGAAAAAGCGGTTTGTCTTTTACATATTGAATGGGAGGGTCTGGTTCACAGGTAATCAGCAGGTGTAATTGCAGTGTTCTTATGAGTCTGTATCCCTTTAAGAAGCAAAAAAAAAAAAAAATGGACGTTTGTGTTGCAGAGGATACCTAAAATCTGATTTGTATCTTAGTGCAGATTTCTGGGAAAATAAGTGAGCCAATCACACAAGCAGGAAATTACATTTTTGGAGGCATTCTGCACACCAATAGTATAACAGAACACCTCCAGGTTGCCATATCACACCGAATTCTACGGAAAAAAAAAAGTGCTGTGGACTGAAACAGAAAGGCATATTTTTAGAACATTAAATTACAATATGGCTTCTGTAGCAATTGTATATACTATATTATTTTTTTGAGGTGTTATTTTTTTTCCCCATGAAAGTGGAACTCTAGTTGTTTTTGAACACCCCCCAACCCCACATAGGAAAAAAAAGATTTATACAAAAGGCCGTATGGTGGTATCTAGAGACAAAAATGCATTACCGCAGAGTTCTCTCCACTGAGGCCTGGTTTACATCTATGCAGGTGGTAGCGGGTGTGGGAATTGCAGTGATTCCCACACCCGCTACCACCTGCAATCAAAACACGCTACTGTTTACAAACGTGCAGGGCTGCCATTCATTCATAATGGCACCCCACGCATCTAAAAATGTGTTGCGTTTGTGGGTGCGGGAACCGGCTGCTGCATTTTTAAAATGCTGCATGCACCTTTATTCTGCGGGAAATGTAGGCACAGAAGCCCATTCAAATGAATGGGCTGCCGTGACACGCAAACGCAGGTCACAAACCCGTGTAGATGTGAACCAGGCCTGAAGGTATATTGCAGTAAAAGTTTAATTTCTCTTTTTCATAGCGCTGACCTCTTCAATTCCAATAAAAATGGAGTTCTGTTTTTTTTTTTTTTTTCTATTAAGCACATACCTGCATGAATTGGTGTTTTTGTATAAATTGCATGTAACCATCACTAAATATGTAATTACAATTTGGAATGCATTTGCTTACAGTTTAAATGTTGAATCTGTGGGACAGGACCCCAAAACATCTTACAGTACATTTACTGGGGTCACCATATTGTTAGAAATTCTATTAACTCACCAGAGTTCTACTGAAGTCTGTTTTGAGGATACAGGCTGTTGGGGTCCCTAAAAGCAATATATTGACACCTGGGCCACAAGCGTTAAGCAGCTCTGGTATACAAAGGCCATGAAAGCAGGATAGAGAAAGCTCTTACTTAAGTAAAAGAAGTTTCCAGGTAAGTAGGTCTCGCTCAGGTTGTTATAAGTCAGATCAAGGACTTCCAGTGCTGGCAAAGAGCCAAATCCCCTTGGTAAGGAATTTAACCGGTTCATGCTGAAAGACACAAGAAAAGGAAACCCAAATCTACATTTAGCATTAAAGGGCAAAGTAAAAGATACAAAACACAGAAAGTGAAGGCTATTAAACACTGCAAGTGTGCTAAAACTGCAAAATTTACTTTAAAATTACCTTAATCTGAAATTTCAGCCTACCACTTCAGCCAGAATCCAGAGAGCACCTCATATGGTCAGTAGAAGTGTATATCTTGAAACCATTCCAATCCCCAAACATATTGCACAAATGTCCAAGGCAGGTTTAAATCTGGTGGATGTCTGTCTATCTGTATGTATGTGTAGGAAAGGATGGATTCTCCAGTAGGTATGTCTGGGAATACCCCTTCAGCTTTACAATCTGAGAATCACAGAACCCCTGATTAATGACAAGAGCAGTGTGCAACAATGTCTGGGTACAAAACCGAACCCCTGAAAGGTAGTCTGCGGTCCCTCTATGCATCACAGGCTTAATTTCATTTTTAGAGGAAAAAAAAAAAAAAAGCCCATCCACTCTAGTTCCCTGACCAAATCTGACCTAACTCTCCTCCCCCTAATCCTGTTGCTTACCTCTGTCTGTTGGTGATGGCAGGCTCCTACAAAGCTCACCACGTTGGGCCCGTAATCTTCTCCAGAGCTACCCGCCCATGCACAGTATCTCCCTATAAACTTTTATGGGGCTCAACAGTAGATGGCAAGGAATTCAGGCCAATTCAAAGAAGTTACTTGGCAGGTGCAGGAATTCCCAAGGAAGCCAAGTCTTGCCTCCTCCAGCTCGCGGATTACTGCTGCAGCCCTTCGCAGTAAGCTGGCTCTTGGGAGGAGCTATGCAAATATCAATATGTCTTGATAGATGGATATCGGTCTGGAGGAGTGGGTGTTACTAGTGTTGGTGACCCTCCATGACCAGAGATGGGACGTTGGGGTAAAAATAGGAAAAGAAAAAAAATCTGGGAAAAAAAGTTTTTCCCCCCCATTTTTTTTTTCCAAAGCCTTTTTTGTTTTATTTCCCAGAAAGTTAAAAAAAAAAAAAAAAGTGTGGAACATGTTATTTTACTATAATAAATAATATATCTATGACATGGTATTCAATCTATCATGAAGACCTTAGTGAAAGATTTCTGAGACTATGTAAAGTCTTACTGCAAGTTCTCTCAGCAGAAGATAAGCAAATCCTGTAATACAATTCAAGTAACACTGTACTTCTGAATGCATGTCTCAAACACGATATGCATGTCTGCCACTAGGGGGCACTGCAGGGGAAAGGCTCCAGTTTAGTTTGCTTGTGGGCCCCATCTTGTATCTCCTACATTTGGGTGATTGTTGGGGGGTACAGTAGAAGATACACAGAAAATAAAAGGTGCGGCGCTGATAGATTATAGCATAGGGTCTATATGCTCATGTGTATCTTAAATGATCAGAAGACACACTGTGATGTATAACAGAAAATAGTAATAATTATGAACATAAAGTAGATATAAATGTAATGTCCAGACAAACAGACGCAGGATTTGCATAGAAGCTACTAAGCCCAGATCCCACGGTAAAATTGCGCACTCACCGGACACGCTAAATAAAAGAGCATATGTAGTATGACCCCTGGGAATACTCATCATCAAGCGGGTACAGTGGGTATCCAGGAGCAGACAATCTGGTGAATTGGACAGCATCCAGATCCAGAGATCCCCTTTAGATCAAATGAAAAGAAGGCGAGGAACTCCCTCCGGTGGCCAAAATAAGTATGGTATCCTGAAAATTAATTAGCTCCAAATAGGAGCCAAAAAAAACTCCATAGTGTAGTATGATGAATAAAAACATTTATTTCCAAAAATATATATATTCAAATTTAAAACAGGGCAGAAAAACACTGATCAGTGAATAGTGGGCCCCAAATGGTAAACTGACCAAAAGTAATATCCGCCGGGCCTCCTCGTGGCTCCGGGCGGCTAAAAATGTCACGCTCTGCTGGCTCCTCCTAAGGCCTTTCGTGCTCCAGCACATCATCAGAGGGAAGTTTTGCTAGGATTGCCTTTGGGTGCATTGGCTGCTGTCGAGAGAGCGCTCACTTTTCATATATATTTTTACAGTAGAAGATAGTTTCTGCCCTCCTCTCAAGCCTTAATTGATAAGTAAGAAGGTACATTTGACAAAGTGAGTTTATCTTTATAACCTTTACATTATTATTCCTCCACCATCACAGAATAATGTTTCCTTTTGTTGCAGTTGTAGTCTGCTCAGTAAATTGTGTTTTCTTTTCCTCCTCTCAGTAAAATGGTGAGAGTTTGGAAACATTTCCACAGTACAATTTCTGCTGAGAGCAAAGCTGCAATTTGCAAATATTAGGATAAGAAATATTCTTTTCCAAATGCTACAAGGATGACAAAAACACATCCCTGCATGCCAGAGGTGCTCTAAAAACATTAAAAAATACTTCATGGAGTTAAATGATGAAGAACCAGAATGAAAGTGCAAGTAGCTTTTCCCTTCAGAGTTCTCATTCCACAAACACTCTTTATGCTGCTTCTGGATCATCACAAATTTTAAAAAGCAAGTTTAGTTTGTTTACGGAATAAACTGTACATTTATTTCAAGCATAATACTTTTATATACACTGCATTTCATGTACTCAGTGTAACAAAAATCGGGCAGCAGCTGTAGCATTAGGAACAGGTTACCCTAAAAACGGCTGGAACATGTAACATGTTCCCAAAAGGTAAACGTATCTTTTAAGTCTTTCTGCCCTATAAAACTGTAAAATTCGGGAAAGGAGTTTCAGTGGGAGCCGGATCGCCATCATCATCATCCAGGACCTTACAAAATTAGGTCTGCATGATTTGACCTGGAGCATCCCTTTAGGATTGGACCTGATAGGCACAACACAATTCTTCTTTTCCAGTTCCTATAAGCTGTATTGTCCAATGTTCAAGCAACAGTTTGAATCAAATCTGATTATTTTGTCTGAGTCAGTGAAGAAAAAAAAAAAAGATCCTTGATCAAGAATGATTGTTTGCCAAAATAATATGATTTATGGCCATTATTTTTGCCCTACTCCTTGGGCCTTTAAAACAATCTTCCCCTGTATGTTGATTGAACGGAACAGCTTTCAGGAAAAATTGATGGAACACTCAAATACTTAGAGATATAGATGTTTAAATAACCCTGCTGGGACTATATTGTGTTCTATTTTTATCCAGAAGATGCACTTGATATTCAACCCAGTCCAAAACTTTATACCAGATATTCTAATGGAAATGGCTGGGGAGATTTGTTTTTCGCTTGTTACTGACATCTTTCACTGTCACCAAGAATAAAGCTGATTTCTGGTTGAAATTTCTCTGTGTCAGCACTTATGAAAGTCTGCAAGATGACATTATGTGGTAGATTTACTAAAACTGGTGCACTTCGAATCAGAAATCAGCTTCTAACTTCAGCCTATCCAATGAAGCTTTGACAATAAAACCTGGAAGCGGATTGGTTGTCTATGCAGAGATTCTGCCCTCTCCAGTTTTAGTAAATCTCCCCCCATATGTCATCGGCTTACAACCAGGAGAATTTCAACTTTATCCTTCAGCTACACATGGAACTTCTATCACTTCAACAGCTAGTTTATATATTTCTAATATGCAAACAATTAAATGTAAAGAAAGTGAAAGGACAAAACAGAACTTTGGAAGACATGCCCATAAAAAGGCAGGCAGAGGGCAAAGGTCTCGTCACCAGTATTGCAAAGGTGGCCATCTTGTAGGGCTTTGCTTCTTCATGTTGGTGCCTCCAGCAAGCAGAACAATGAACAGCACAGTAGCACAGCATTGCCAATCTCACTTCAAATCATCTGAGACTAGAAGAGGCAGAAGTGCCTTAGAACAGGGGTCTCCAGACTTTTTAAAACATCCTTCAGACTGTAGGGGGGACTGGACTGTGGCCATTGGGAGTAGAAAAGGTCCCAATGTCAGTGGGAAAAAAACAATGCCCCATCTTTGGTGCCAGTGGGTGGAATGGTGCCCCACTGTTTGATGTCAGTGGGTGAAATGGTGCCCCATTGTTGATGTCAGTGGGTGGAATGGTGCCCCACTGTTTGATGTCAGTGGGTGAAATGGTGCCCCATTGTTGATGTCAGTGGGTGAAATGGTGCCCCATTGTTGATGTCAGTGGGTGGAATGGTGCCCCATTGTTGATGTCAGTGGTGGAAATGGTGCCCCATTGTTGATGTCAGTGGGTGGAATGGTGCCCCATTGTTGATGTCAGTGGGTGGAATGGTGCCCCATTGTTGATGTCAGTGGGTGGAATGGTGCCCCATTGTTGATGTCAGTGGGTGGAATGGTGCCCCATTGTTGATGTCAGTGGGTGGAATGGTGCCCCATTGTTGATGTCAGTGGGTGGAATGGTGCCCCATTGTTGATGTCAGTGGGAGGAATTGTGCCCCATCATTGATGTCATCGGGACCAAATATTGGTGTCACTGGGAGGAACTGTGGCCCGTCATTTGGAAAAACTGTGCCCCTTCATTGGTGTTGGGGGGGTTGAAATTATGCCCCAGTGTTGGTATCAGTGGACCGGCCCCTGGGCTGCAGTTTGCAGACAACTGCCTTAGTTGTTCTCAAACCACAGATACACAGCCTTGAGGCTTAAGCACACACACACACACCAGGAAGTGCACTGATACGTTTCGGGAGGAATGATATGTTCCTATAACATAGCATATCTTTACTTTTTGAGTTCAGTTTCACTTCTGCTTTTGTCTAGGTAGAGAAAATCTATATTTAGCTGATGGCGAACAGAAAAAACTATCTATCCAATCCCATGAAACAGCACTGAGCCAATCGCCAAGCAGCAGAACTGTCACACGAGATGAACGTTCGTAAGTCACATGCTGCTTCATACCCAGAAGTACCAGGTATTTTCTTCCCCTCTTTTGGATGAACAGCCAGTAAGACACTTACTGACATGATGTGATAGCACTCCCTCTACTGTATCTATGGGGAGCAGCATTGTCAGCATTGGGCAGGACTACAGAGTGCCTCCCCTTCTCCATCACTAAATGACGAAGATGTTCAGTAGTTCACACACATAGTTGTGAACAATGTGACTGATAACAGTGCTGCACAGGCAGAGAGCACAAGTTATCAGATGACAAGATTTCAGACGGGACCAAAAGGTGTTTTATGCACTTATGATTTAATTGGCATACTACCCTCAAGCAGTGATGGACCTTGTGGTATTTCAGTGCATCACATTGCTTTTTGTTTAATTTTTTTAATCTTTGTTATGAGTGTGCAAATATACACACCTTTCAAGTCTCTACACAGCAGCTAGGTGCTATTAACTGCGGTGACTTTTCTTGCCATCAGATTTACTGCAGAAAAATGCAGCAGGTCCCACACATCACTCCAGCATTATAGCGTAAACAGGGCATATAGGAATCAATTATTCTCTATGCACCATAGCACCGACCTGTGTTGTTCTGTCCTCAAATACACAGGTCACCACATATAATGTGATAAAGCCTTAACATGGCAAGAGGGAACAAATAAGAGAAATAAGAGAAATTTCAATGTTCAAAATTTATATACCATATTCACAAGTTATTCATTTTTTAATTACTTTACAACTGAAAAGAATTGAAAGGCTGTGCATACATAATAGTGTTTATCCCTCTTGCCTGCTTGTTGCCTGTAGACAAGAATGGACCACTGTAAAGTCAGCTGTGTTCAAGGACAACACTGCCCTGATGCTCATCTTTTGGCCAATTAGGCTTAAAAAAAAAAAAAAAATCATACCCAAGATTAAGATGTTTGAGCTTCTGAAGGCTGCTGATCTGCGTTGGAAGCTCCTCAATCTGGTTGTTGAAAAAGTTGAGAACCTCCAAGTTTTTCAAATCAGCAATGTTGGCTGGCACACCTAAAAACACAGAGGAAAAATGTGTCATCGACAGGAAGAAAAATATCCATACAAAATCAGTTATCACTGTTCTTTATGCTTTGCTTTTGGCCCCACACTGTTAATGATGGTAGACATAAGGATACAACACAGTGACATCGATTTACTGAAAGAGTAGAGTATGTTCACTTTCAAAGTGAATTTTTACTTATGTCAGTGAATGTGGAGAAACAAAGTGAAAATTCAGTTTGCAAAGAACACCCAACCAATTGGAAGGAACATTAAAAAAAAAAAAAAAAAAAAACAAAAAAACAGGATTTCTGCTTGATGCATTGGATATTTTTAGTAAGCACAAGTTCACCTCACTGTGCAAGGAAGGAAAATTCACTTTGTACAGTGAAGCCCCGCAATTACACCCGAGTGTTTTGGCACACAATTCCAAAAGCTTGACAACACCCAAGAGCAAGAATCCTGCTATTTACAAAAGGCCTGTTCATACCTGAGGATTGTGTTGCTTGTTACCTCTCCTACAATTTTGAAAAATTGGGCAAATCTGGGGCAGAATCATGCATTTTTAGCCCTATAAATGTTAACCCATTTTCTGGCTGTTATTAACCACTTCCCGACTGGCCATTGTATATAAACAGCCGGACGGTGACACTGCAGGGTCGGTGGCTGTTTATAAACGGCCTCCCCGCACCCTACTTGTGCGCGCTCCCTGGGAGCGTGCAACACCACGATCCGGTGCCCGCTGTGTCCTCCGGACACAGTGGAACATCGTTCGTCGGATGGACCTCTGTATGAGGTCCTGATCATGAGATTGCCGATTGGCCAATCAGTGATCACATGCAAAGTAGTAAGCAAGATGTCACTTGTGATATCATTGCTTACTACGTGTGAAATCTGTGAATGATCACAGAGGTCACATGGTACAAGGCTATTCACAACAGCCTTGTACCATGTGACAAGCTGTGACCAAATCACAGCTCACTCAGTACTTCTCAATGACTGCAAGAATGCAGACAGAGAGAAAGAGAAATGATTGCTTTTACATCCTATATGGGTGTAAAAGAAATCAGTGTAAAAAAAAAAAAAAAAAAAATCTTCATAACCCGCTACAAGTAGTACAGTGTCACCATGGTGACACTGTACTGCTAGGGTGACAGTATGTAAAAAAAAAAAATATATATATATATATATATATAAAAAAAAAAAAATAAAAAAATGTAAAAAAAAAAAAAAAAAAAAAGTTTAAAAATTATAAATTTTTGGTTAGAAACTAAAATTTGGATTTTTTTTTTTGTTACCGAAAAGATAACGGAATAAATTTTGGCCAAGATTTATGATGAAATATTATTTATTTGCAAAATTTTATTTAAAAAAAAAAAAAAAAAACGTTTTTTTCAAAATTTTTGGACTTTCATTTACATAGCAAAAAAAAAAAATCCCAGCGGTGAATAAATACCACCAAAATAAAGCTTTATCTGTCTCAAAAAATGGTAAAAAATTAATTTGGGTACAGTGTTGCATGACCGCACAATTGTCAAAGTGTGATAGTGCTGAAAGCTGAAAATTGCCCTGGTCAGGAAGGGGGTAAAAGTGTCCAGTCTGGAATTGGTTAAGCACATTTAAAAACACATTTTCGGCCTGAAGATTAGCTAAAACCACCATAGATTATATATTTTCTGAAAGCAGACAAGCTAGAAAATAAAACCGTGGCAGTTCCAATTGTTTATGTCACAAGATATTGGTACAAAAGTTTATGAAATGCTAAAATTTCAGTAACAAATACACTAAAGTTAATTTTAGGGCACACAAACGCAATATATTACCAAAATTGTTTTTTAAAATATAAAAGATGAAGTTGCGTTGAGTAAATATATACCAAACATGTCAAGACTTAAAACTGCGCGCGCACCTGTGAAACAGCGTCAAACTTCGATACTCTATATTTTCCATAAATTATCCTTTAAAAGGGTAACTGTGAAAAATGGCCCTAGAACTATTGCTCTTACTCCTGCGTGCTGATAATATCATTGACAGTGAAAGAACAAGAATACAGGGGAAATCTTCCAATGTGGACATTAGTTCTGGTGATCCTGGTGGCACTCCAGGATTTCCTCACTTTGTAGGGATCTCCTCTCACTTCCTGTCTTGGCTATGGGGAAAAAAAACCTGACAGGGATTATAACCCTCCTTTGCTCTAACCAAAATTAAAAAACTAAGGAAAAAAAAAAAAAAAAAAAAAAAAAAGGTTTTGCCTTTAGTGACACTTTAATGGGAGCGCCTGAAAAACAAAATGAAAAAGTATTTTTCCAGAGCTCCTATTTATAAGTCAGTCTAAAGGAGCCAAAAATGCACAATTCTGCTCCTGTGCAAAAAACAAATTCCCTCCCCCAGAAATCTCTAAAATGTTGGCTAACCTCATGCTCAGATTGAATGGGGGGTTTAATTAGTAAATCAATTGAGTAAATATTCTGTATACAGTGACTTGCTTGTATTGTATTTAGCTCATATGCTGTACATGTTGAACCATGCAACTATTTTTGGATAGAGAAGGGTTAGAACATCTGCCAGGTATTTATTGCTGTCTGTGCCCCTGCTGGAGAGATTCACCCTCTTTCTTTGTTCTGATGACCACTGGCATTGGGAGAAGGAGATGGGAAATTCAGAACAACAAGATCCAAAAACATCAAGCATTCTTAGAATATCTAATGAATCCAAAGGAAACCCCCTCCCTTATAAAATATACACTATATTGCTAAAAGTATTGGGACCATCCAAATCATTGGATTCCGGTGTTCCAAACACCTCCATGGCCACAGGTGTATAAAATCAAGCACCTAGGCATGCAGACTGCTTCTACAAAAATTTGTGAAAGAATGGGTCGCTCTCAGGAGCTCAGTGAATTCAGGCATGGTACCATAATAGGATGCCACCTGTGCAAAAAGACCATTCGTGAAATATCCTTGCTACTAAATATTCCACAGTCAACGGTAAGTGGTAATATAAAGAAGTGGAAGCAACTAGGAACAACAGAAACTCAGCCACGCAGTGGTAGGCCACATAGAGACAGAGCAGGTGTGAGCCCATGCTGAAGTGCATAGTGCGCAGAGGTAGCCAACTGTCTGCAGAGTCAATAGCTAAAGACCTCCAAACGTCATGTGACCTTCAGATTAGCACAACAACAGTGTGTAGAGAGCTTCATGGAATGGTCAAGCAACTGTATCCAAGCCTTACATCACCAAGTGCAGTGCAAAGCGTTGGATGCAGTGGTGTAAAGCATGGTGCCACTGGTCTCTAGAGCAGTGGAGACGTTCTCTGGAGTGACGAATTACGCTTCTCTGTCTGGCAATCCAAAACAGATGTCTGGGTTTGGCAGTTGCCAGGAGAACAGTACTCTTCTGACTGCATTGTGCCAAGTGTAAAGTTTGGTGGAGGGGGGATTACGGTGTGGGGTTGTTTTGCAGGGGTTGAAGGGAACTCTTATGGAGTCAGCAAACCAAGACATTTTCGACAATTTCATGCTTCCAACTTTGTGGGAACAGTTTGGGGATGGCCCCTACCTGTTCCAACATGACTGCGCACCAGTGCACAAAACAAGGTCCATAAAGACATGGATGAGCAAGTTTGGGGTGGAGTCCTAGCCTCAACCCGATAAAAACACCTTTGGGATGAATTAGAGTGGAGACTGCGAGCCAGGCCTTCTTGTCCAACATCAGTACCTGACCTCACAAATGCACTTGTGGAAGAATGGTCAAACATTCTCATAGACACTCCTAAAGATTGTGGACAGCCTTCCCAGAAGAGTTGAAGCGGTTATAGCTGCAAAGGGAGGGCCAACTCAATATTGAACCCTACGGCCAAAGACTGGGATGCCATTAAATTTCATGCATGTAAAGGCAGGTGTCCCAATACTTTGGGCAATATAGCGTATATACAGCGGGTAAAAAATATAAAAAATGTAATTAAAAATATAAAAGTATTGAACCTATCACCATGTTTCTCAGTAAATATATTTCTAAAGGTGCTATTGACATAAAAGTTTCACCGCATGTCGCTAACAACCCATGCAATCCATACATACAAAGCAATCAAAACAAATGAGTTCAGAAATTAAATTATGTCTAACAAAATGGAATGACACAGGAAAAATGTATTGAACACTCTAACTGAAATTTAATACTTTGTACAAAATCCTTTGTTGGTAATGACAGCTTCAAGATGCCTCCTGTATGGAGAAGGTAGTCGCATGCATTGCTCAGGTGTGATTTTGGCCCATTCTGCCACACAAACAGTCTTCACATTTTGAAGATTCTGTGGACCTCTTCTATGAGTTCTGATCTATAGTTCTTTCCATAGATTTTCTACTGAATGGTGGTTGGCTGGGCAACTTTATTTTCTTTGAAACCAATTGAGTGTTTCCATGGCTTTGTGTTTGGAATCATAGTCTTGCTGAAATGTCTACTCTCATTTCATCTTCATCATCCTGGTAGATGGCAGCAGATTTTTATCAAGAACGTCTTGGTACATTTTTCCATTCATCCTTCCCTCAATAATATGAAGTTTGCCAGTACCGAATGCTAAAAAACAGCCCCACCTCCACACTTCACTGTTGGTATGGTGTTTTTGGGGTGATGTGCAGTGCCATTTGACCTCCAAACATGGTGTGTATTATGGCATCCAAACAGCGTCTCCCAGTGTTTCACAGGCTTGTCTAAATGTTGTGCAGCAAACTTTAAAATGAGCTTCAACATGCTCTTTCTTCAGCAATGGAGTCTTGCATGGCGAGTGTGCATACAGACCATGGCGGCTGAGTGCTTTACTTAATTGTTTTCTTTGGAACAATTGTACCTGCTAATTCCGGGCCTTTTTGAAACTCTCCACAAGTGGTCCTTGGCTCTTGGACAACTCTTCTGATAATTCTTTTCACACCTGTCAGAAATTTTGCGAGGAGTACCTGGTCATGGTCGGTTTATGGTGAAAGGATGTTCTTTCCACTGCTGGATTATGGCCCCAACAGTGCTCACTGGAACATTAAGTATAGAA